CCCCAAAACCCCAAAACCCCAAAACCCCTCATGTAAATTTTCAACATCTAAATCAAATATCTATAATCAATATAAATCTATAATTTCACTAAATCAATCATATTAATCCAATACCCCCTGGCAATCTTTTCTTAAAATTTTCACACACTTTCTTATGATTTTACCAGTCTTTTTTCTGGCATTCAATATCACAATATCTTACCACAAAGCAATGGTTGCATTGCATCATATAACCAACCAAATTCCCATTATTCAAGCTACTTCGAGTACATAAAGCACACACCATAAATGCAGCTTTAACATCATCTCTGCCTGTGAGCTCATACGGTACAAAACCCTTTCTATTTCTAGAATAAGGATTTGCTCCAAGATTTATTAAGAACTGTCCAACTTCAATAGTTCCTCTCATTGCTGCAAAATGCAAAGGTGTATTACCCTCGTCATCAGCAATATCAGTCCTTGCTCCTGCTTTCAAGAGCATCTGTAGAATTACGCTTTATGAGTTATGCCTTGCACATTTTAGTAAAGGTGTTCTTTTCCTGAAATCTACTTCGTTAACATCCGCCTTGGCTATTATCAGTCTATCACATATAGCAGCATTTTCTTGCATGCAAGCTAACGCCAAGGACGATTCAGACCTTTTATTTTTCTTTCTAGGATTAGCACCGAATTTCAAAAGCAATTTAACTATTTCAAGGTGACCATTAATAGATGCCTTCATTAATGGTGTGAGACTGAGTGAATCCTCTCCATCTATATCAAATACCATCGCAGACTTATCTAGTCTAAGTACTTTTGCTCTATGAAGGAGTATTGTTTCGCACATCTCTAAGAATCCTCCAGATGCTGCCAAATGCAATGCACTATTAGATAGTTATGATGAATATATATTACTTGCAAAAGTTGTTATCAGTCACATTAATATCTACATTTTTCTTGATTAAAAGATCAACTACATTCAATTGATTCCTCTTGGTCGCTAAAAGCAAAGCATTTCTAAATGTGTCATTCATTATGTTGGGATCGGCACCTGCTTCATCAATCAAATATTTTACAAGTAGATAATTTTCACCTTCCAAGGCGCTTTAATTATTGCAAGCATAAAGTAGAGCGTTATTACCTCCCTTTGCCCGATCTATTTGTATATCAATAAATAGTCAGAAATCTTTAGGTGAACTTTTATAAATCTCTCTTGCATGCTCAATTAGAGTTTTAGCAGTTTAAATATTACCCATCATACAAGCAACCATTAATGGAGTCAACGCAGTTGTTCTTATGTTTCCTGAGATTTGATCTGTGACAAGATTAACTTTATCTAGTATTCTACTGTTTATGCCGCTAAGCGCTTCTTTTACATACATGGATGACTTGAATGAACTACAGGCAGAGGCAGATATAAGTTAATTTTCCCGCACATATCTCTCAGCCCCAATCAAGTCATCCTGAAGATTTATTGGATCGAAGACTTTATAAGATTAATGAACTTGATCAAGAGATTCTAGTTAGCAGTATGAATTTAAAACATCTGTTGCCTATTCAAGTGATTTAGGTAGAACTATTTTAGAAGAATTAGTAATCTAAATGATTATATATTACGAGTCTGATTAGCTCCAAAATACTTTTTAACTAAAAAGTCCATGCTTTAATTTAAAAATAATTTTTTTTTTCTTTTCAAATTTATAAAATACTCTATCTCATAATATAGCCATCAGTATTTTCACTCTGGGGTTTTGGGGTTTTGGGGTTTTGGGG